TAGTTATAATACCATCAGTAACAGTAGACAGCGTAGTTCGCATCTTGGGTATTATATAAAAAATTGTTGAAGATGAGAACGAGAAGAAAGGACAGAGTCGAAGAGTGGGAGAGAGAGAGAGAGAGAGAGAGAGAGAGAAATAGAGAAAGTGCAACTGAGTTTCATACTTTATCCTTGACGGCGGAGACGCGTTGCTCGATAACGGCGTTCAGACGAAGAACGAATGGATAGAGCAGTCGGCCATAATATACGCTTTGCGGCAAATTGTCTACAAGTGAGATAGACATGAAGAAAGAAAGATGGAATGAGATACATATATGGATAGTTGGTGAAGGAATGAGGGAGGAAGCGAGTGAGTTAGAGTGCGAGAGCGATAGAGCGATAGAGAGAGAGAGAGAGAGAGAAATAGTCAGAGAAAGTTTAAGTTTTCTCTCTCTATCTATCTATCTATCTATCTCATATCCTTTGACTTTCCTGGCTCTTTCTCTCCCCGATTGCGGTTCATTTACTGAGCGAATCGAGTTAATGTAGCGGACAGAGAAACTCTCCACTGCTGCGGAGATGCGACATGGTGATGGCTAATCTTGATGACTTTTACGTTATTACGTCGATTCGCATCATCATGCTGATAGAAGAATGCTATGTTTTTGCAGTAATAATGGTCGAACTTTAATCGTGCTTCTTGTGCAATTGTTGTTGTAATTTAACTTTAAGCGACGAATGGTAAGTAAATTGAAGTATAATTGAAGCAAGTTAAGCTTCGTTTCTAATTTCACCGATATAATTACTTTACGGAAATATCAGAGATGTACGAATGTAATTTTTAATAGTTTTGCTTAATTGATCAAGAGCTGTTGCGCATAAACTACAAACTGTAGAATAATGTTTTTCAATTTACATTAATATTTAATGCATTTACCAGATTGTTAGATTCTTTGATAAATGTAAAAATGGGAGAAATTGTACAGAAGGTCAGTCAATTACGTTGCCTTTTATCTACTCTGTGTTTGTGAGAATTATAAAAGTGGCATTGGTAAGATAGAGTTCCTTGACGCAAAATATGGTTAATTCTTTTATAATTTTGTAATAAGCATTTGTTTCAAGAAATTGTAAAAATAATAATTAGTTAATGTTGATCTTTAAGTTCCTTTACTATCTCTCATTACATTTATAACCTTGAGAGCTTAATAAGAGTCCTTAAAAAACGGTAACCACGAGTACGGCAATTACAAAGTTAAGATTGATAAACTTCGTAGAATTTTTGTGACGATACTGTGTTATTTTATAGAAAATATAGAGCTAAAAAAGTACGTATTTAACCATTTTCAGGTTCGTGCTTTATGGTATTTAATCCTAAACTTTCAAACATTATTAAGTAAATTGTATTTATAAGAACATTAATGATAAATCAAGGATGTGTATTATTCAGGTCGAACACCTACTTTGTCTCCAGCAACTGATAGTTGTTCGACAACTCACGCAATGGCATATTGCAAAGCATTCTCATACACTAGTACGTATTGAAATAATTATAACTGATACATTTATATGCAGCTGAACTATTATTATACTGTCTTATTATACAAAGCAAATATCATTAATATTCATATGAATGAAAAATGATAATTGAATGTTATCGGAAAAGCCACCAATTGATATAAAGTATTTTATTTGCATTTCTTTAAGATTTTAAAACGATATTTGATACGGTAGCTATTTAAAATTACTCCTTACTACTGTATTAAAATTATATTATAGATAAATTGAAATTTTTTAAGCCATTGCAATTGATATCGCGTATAAAGTATTAACAAATATATATTGCATTAGTAAAAAATGAGCAGTGTTATTTGTTTGAAAATATGTGCGGTTATCACTACATTATATAAAATCTGACCTTCAGTGTCCAATATATCCTAAATAGTACCCAGAATACTGATTATAGCGAACAACATAGTAATCGATTAACGTTAGACTCAATGCTTACTGTTTCAGGCGACGCGAGTAACGCGAGTATCGGCAGTGGCGAAGGGACGGGCGAGGAAGACGACGACTCGTCGGGTAAGAAGAACCAAAAGAAAAGGGGCATCTTTCCCAAGGTCGCGACCAACATCCTCAGGGCGTGGCTGTTTCAACACCTCACGGTAAGCAAGCCTTCAATTCTCTCTCTCTCTCTCTCTGTCTCTCTCTCTGTCTCTCTCTGTCTCTCTCTCTGTCTCTCTCTCTCTGTCTCTCTCTCTGTCTCTCTCTGTCTGTCTCTCTCTCTCTGTCTGTCTCTCTCTCTCTCCTTTTGCATGACCTACTCATCATCTCAAGTACAACTACGTTTCCGTGTATTTTCATCGCGGCCCGATGCGGCATCCAATTTTTTTCTCCTTTTCTCACCATGTCGGTAAGCACGATAACTGCGATAGAGATGGCGACGACGCTTCCTGTCCTCATGACACATGCGACAATTTTCAAGTTCGCACTTTGTGCGCGCTCGTGCGTGCGCGCACAGGCACACACAGATGCGCTCGCGCGCCAGAACGCGAGCGAGAACGTTCGTGGAAGTCCTTTTTATACACAGCAATGCTATGCATTTCTCTCGAAGTCGGCGGTGGCGGCGGGAACGCGCAAAATAAAACGAGCTGAATAAGAGTAAAATGAAGTAGAAAAAGGCAAGGGAGCGAGAGGCGGGTTTGGGGAAATGGAGGGACAGAGTCGACGACGCGCCGATGGCTTGTTCGAAATCAGCGTTCTGCGAAGCGTCGCGCTCTCTCATCGAAAGCTGCTGCCGTTGCTGCATGTTTCTTCCTTCGCCTCCGCCCTTCGTCTTGCTATCCCACCCCATGTGAAATTCCGATGTTGATCCGGCAAAAAAGCACAGTGGCAGCGCGTGAAATTGTTGCTTCTTGTTTGAAACGACGCATCACTGCTCGCGCGCTTTAATTAAATGTCCGCTCGCTCGCCCAGTCACATGGGCGTTTCACACTTTATGCGAAATTGAAAATGGATTGTTTGGCATTTGTCAAAGTATGGAAAAACCGCTGCCGAATCATTTGATAATCCGTTAAAACGAAGTCGAATCTTTTTAAAAGCGAGTACCGTAATTTTAATCACTACTTTCGGACTTGATATTATTGCCTTAGCTCCCCCGACTACGAGTAATTTCATTCATGATGTCTTATTAGTTTGGGGCTAAATTTGGAACTCATAAGCTCCGAATAATTGAAAAATCTGAATCGAAATTAATTAGTCCTAAGTCATAGGTCGATCAAGGTACCGATAGTCCTGCTAAACAAAATCTAGCCTTAGCCAAAAATAAATGTAAATAAATTAGCCCAATATCTAAATAATGAGGAAATAAATATTTATTAATTATTAATCCAGGAATCGGTAGAGGAATTCGTAATATCAAGTAATTAGTTACGAGCAGTCGTTAACATTTTTCTTACATGAATGTTGGCCTTCCTGTATTTCACAGATGAAATTTCTCCATACTGCAGGAAAAATTCTATTTATTAATGTATGCAATGACATCATATCCATTAGAAAAGATTCATTAAATTGTAATTAATTGAAGAAAGTTAAACCTTATTGTAAGATAGAAGAAGGAGATTGAAGATGAAGGTCGTTATTTTCAATATAAGTTTGATGCACCCAAAATGTGCGTAGCTGGATGAAGAAGGAGCGAAAAATCGAATCCGCCGCGACTGTCAGGCATCTCATCGTAATCTCCTAATCTTCTAATGTTAAGATAAGAAGTGTCCCCCTGGTATTTGCACCCCCTAACGATTCACGAGTAATCTGAGCCGCAAAAAGCACAACGCGCGTACTGTATAAGTGGTGTTACGCAGGGCATCGTAGTTATTGGTGCGAAATTTCATCACAATAGCCCACATGTCAGAGTCTACAGTGAAACAAGGATAAACTATTTAAAGAATTAAATTCATTGTTGAGCGTGAGGGTAAGGGGCGTAAGAGTAGTGCATAGTAAGAGTAATACATGGTTTTAGTGACATTTCTCGATCGGGCGAAAGTAGTTGGGGAAATTTTTAACTTTAATAATATCGCTTCAATAATAATTTATCCTTACATTGTAGTAATTTATCTTGTAAAATGGATCGATATTCGGCTGGGTATAATTGAATTTGGTTAGAGGGCAAATCAATCGCACCTTTAATCAAGTGCGAATGTCCGAATGGCCCGTGAGGGACAAAACCAAAAGGCAAAATTCTTGCAAATAGTTCTAAATATTGTGCATTAACGATACGCGCAAGCGACATCGAATGCAACCGCGAAAGCTCGTCTACAAAACAAGCTACACAGACGGAAAGAGAGACAACGAGAGAGAGAGAGAGAGAGGGAGAGCGAGAGGGAGAGCGAGAGAGCAAGAGAGAGGGGGAGGGAGAGAGAGAGAGAGAGAGAGCGACTGCATGGATTTCGGGCACGATCAGGTTACCTTGGCAAGAGGGCTGTAATCATATTGCAGCGTCGCCTAATGCCATTACTGCCCAATTGGGGGTGGCACTGAGGGCTCGAAGAGCCTCTCTCCCTCAACATTTCCCTCCCCTCTGCAGCAACGAGCCGTCGGCTGTATTGGATATGACGTCGGCAACATAGTTGGGTTCTTGGCTTTAATGCATGTGCGCCGTGCAAGCGAATGCGTTCACGGCTCTGGGTTAACTATCGGAGATCGATCGGTACTACGGTTGTGGAGGGGGCAGGGAGGGGACGGCGGCTGACTAGCTGGCGGTAATCGAATCGGGTTTACGTATGGTTGATTGGGGGGAGGAGGTTAGCGAGGGTGTAAAGCATCGGGGGTGAGAGAGCGAGGCGATGGCAACAGCGCGGCTCGTCATTATAATAATAATTCCGAAATTCGAGAATGCGGGTAGGCGTCAGCGGATTAAGCCGATGTCTCGATAAATATTTTTCGAGATGTGCACACTTTCGTGTTAGTGCAAGCGAGGTATGGGATAATGCCAACGTCGGGGCGAGATTCAGAGTAAAATGGACGTGGGAGGGGAGTGTCAAGTGTCGCGGGCAAGGCAAAAATTGGAATTTATCGTACGTGGATTTATTTGAAATTGGTCCTGTTGTTAATGATTTTAGAATGTTACTTTGTGCATTGGATATTCTAGTGTTTCAAAATTAAATTTGTTTCGAGAAGTTTCAAATGTCTAAAACTCTTTTGCAATTATCACATATGTATGTATGAATTATATATTTCTATTGTAATAAGTGTTATATTTCAGCTAATGGACGGGATCAGAATATTTTGATGAGAGTTTTATGTGAAATAATTTCCATTTCTTATCTAATAGAATATTTAATGAACATTTCTTTTTAAACTATTGTAATTTAGAAGAGAAATGTTTAATGCTTACGAATTAATAATTAGTGTTACAAAGTTAACTGCATTTGAAATTTTCAAAGATTATTTTAGAACAAACTCAGTAGGAATTCCCGCCTTGTTCCACTTTCTATTAATCATCGTTACTCGTTATAGTAAAATATTTTCAAACTAAAATTCAACATGGACACTTAGAAGAGTTTCCAGTAAGTTTCAACGTGAGCATAATGCATCGGTAGTATGTATAAATACATAAATAATAAAATTTCTTAATTTTAAAGAACTCTCGATACGCCATTATACCATAAAATTGCAAATGGACTTATTGAAATTGTAATTATTTAATATTAATGAATCAAAAGTGGAATACGGGAAATGATATGAGACGTGGTTGAGGGAAACGGCGAGGGAGAAGAGAGTTTTGACCTCATCTCCTGACGGGCTCGGACAGATAGATATAAATTAAATTAATTTGATGGAAGTGGAATGCCTGGCTCTCGTGTACTCTCGCACGTTGACTCTCTCTCCCTCTTTCTCTCTCTTTCTCCCTCTTTCTCCCTCTCTCTCTCTCTCTCTCTCTCTCTCTCTCTTTATCTATCTATCTATCTATCTATCTATTTATCCATCTATCTATCTATCTATCTATCTATCTATCTGTCTATTTATCTTTTTTTGTCTCACACAATTTGGCTTTCACTCTCCATCTTTCTCGGTTTCTATTACGTGCGCGCGCATATTTGTCCTGAACTTGCGCACGAGCGTGTCTCGTCTCTAGAGCAGGCAAGCCAGTTTGATTAAATTTCATTCCTGTTACGCGGATTGCGCGCGGATACCGAGATATGTGCATATTATACTGCCACGCTGGTACAGTACACCATAAAACGCATGTCTACACATGGCCGACCATGTTTTTTTTCATCTCAACGAAAAGAGGCGCGAGAATGAGAGAACAAATGAGATAAATTGATGAAACGATGCATCGCAGAACAATTGCGATGATAAATGATTTTCTAAATTAAAAATTTTTCCTATCTATGCGAAAGCACACTTTGAGTTATATATAGGTTTATTGATTTTGCTGGAAAATTCTATTATTCCGATGTTTCGAAATTTATATCTCTCTTTTATATTCGTAGATTACATTAGTTAAACAGAGCTTTTTCATTAAAATTGGATATTATTATGCTACTGGGTAAGGAATAAACTTATACGTTCGATGAATTTTTAATTATTGTTAAATTACGCATTACGCAGGCCATTCTTTACTCGTTCTTTCACCTCTCTATCTTGTTACCTATGAACCAGATATTAGAATAAGATGGAATGTAACTGTAAAATTTCTCTCCTCAAAGTAAAACTAACGCGAGTGTAGTGTGCAATAGTATTGAACAAGTGGATGGAAAGTGTATGGAATGTCCGATGGTTGGTGTGAAAAATTTGCAAATTTAGACGAAAGAAATGCTTATCCGTGATGAGGTCAGACGGTGCACCAGACTTGTCGTTTCGAAAGCTCGCAGCAGCGAGAGAATCAACGGGTAGTTGCGAGGCTAGTAGTAGCAGGCAGCTATAGTCCGTCGGCGGAATGAACGAGCCTGCAACTTCTCTCCCAGAGTTTAATTAGACAGAAGAGTAGTATATACATCACGGATTCGCTCCTTTTCCAGCGCGTAACTCTCAGCCCTTTATTCACCATCTCTCTCTCTCTTTCTCTCTCTGCCTCTCTGACTCTCTCTCTCTCTCTCTCTCTCTCTCTCTCTCTACTACTTTCTCGTTTATTCTCTTTGTCTTTCTTTCTCCCGTGCTCTCG